ATTCCTTAATATGGGTGCAAAATTCCTTACCTTGACTCCATGGATCAAGCCATTCATCAAGAACGTGTGCTGAGGAAAAGTCTGGTGCAACACCTAGGGAGACAAAGCAACAGCTTTTCCAGACCCTGCTGTTAACAAGAGGACAGCGGGACTGCAGGAGACACAGCTGCAGTCCATGGTCCCACACAGCAGTGACACCCCACACTCCTGCCATAAACACTGTATGGATCACCAGTTACAAGGGGTCCCATTACTTCCACACCAGTGTCACGGGCAGGACTTTGTGAGGGCTGTGGGAGGGGTTAGGGGCATATTTTGTCTGACACTATAAGGTTGTTCTGTACAAACTTTTTCCATCCTTCAGTTCTCTTTTGCTTGGCCTAATCAGTGTTCTCTGCTCCTCTTCCTCCTTCGGTGCCCCTCATGTAATTGCCTTACATTTTGCACTGTTAAATGAACATAAGGGCCTTTCTGTGAACAACAAACCTTGCTTTGTAAGGCAGTTACCTAGATATCAGAGATCAGCTCAGAGATATCTATGGTACGTTAAACTCCAATGTGAACTGGCATAACAATTCCTACCAACAAGCTCCGAAAGCTGAGAATTCTTCTTGAAGCTGCCAACTTGGAAGTTTCCAGTCACTTAGCACTCATTTGAAACAACTATCAGAGATGAGATTTCTAGTTCTTTTGATAAAGCTACCCCTTTGTTTTCTGTTTTGCTGTGGAGCAGCCTTTCCTGCTGGTCTTAGTCAGAGCAGTCTGTCACTTCCAAATTAATTGTTGGCAAAATCTCATTAGATCAGCAAGGCTGGGCATCCTCCTGACACCATGAAAGTGGGATTTTAGTGGGAGATAAGTCTCAGTGCTAAACCTGCACCCAGGCATAACTCAAACGGTGCAGGGTCTAGGTAGTTGTAAAACACAGGCCGTGTTTATTTTAATTCATTATCTAGCTGTTACAGCACGTTCTCTCCAGAACAGGGGGGTTACACAAGACACTGCGATCCTTCCAGTCTGAGATAGGTTTCGGCTTCCCTAAATCCAGCCAAGCCATTTCAAACGAAGCAAGCAAGCGGCTCTCCTCTGCATTTTTAAGCATCCAAGAACCGTATGTGGCAACTCCCACATGTACAGCGCTTTTCAGAACAAGATGCTCTACAGATAGGTTACAGCATCCCAGACTTTGACTCCTGTGTTTCAAAACGAAGTGGCACCCACCCAAAGCCCTCAACCTCAGTGTTGCAAGACAAGGCCTAGCCGCTGCGCAAGGAGGTAAGGTGCCACACTGATGGGCAAGAGGCAGTTGCCACAAGCAGTTACTCACCGTTAACATAGGAGTGGTCAGCAACCCCCAGGCAAAGAACTCAAGGAAAATCACCACAACTGCATGGTAGACGCTGGGCTCTCCAATTCCCTGGCGCTGAGGAAGAAATGTTAGACTGAAACACTGCTCCAAGACACAGATTTGTCCCACTGTAGGGGGAGATACTCAAGGGCCTTTGAAAACCTTCCCATTAGTTTCTAGGGGGGCTTCGAAGAGGGGTAACACTGAAGTCCACTGCAAGCTGAGAAAGCAAATGATACCGACACACAACTTGGACACAGCTTAGTCAGAAGAGATATTTCCTCAAAGTGCTAGCCCTCACCTACTGGCCCGTGAGGGTTTCTTTGCTGTGCAGAATGTACCTGCAAGGTCACACGACGGTGGAGAACGTCCGTCACAAGAGAGCACAGAAAAGCACACAAGTTGGAACTCACCGGCGTCGGGGAATTGCACTGATCAAACACCCAGAGAACAGCACATTCTTCACCAATGGAGAAACTCTGAGTGCAAGTGGGCAAGTGGACGGGGCAGAAACAGCAGAGAGCTCTGAAGCATCATAAAGCACATCTCCCAAAATATCTGCGTCTCAAGAGACAGAGATAGAAATTCCACTGATTTGCATGGAAACTAAATATCAGGTCTCCTAAATTGGCTGCACAAACTTCAGCCTGTGTGCGCAGGCTCTCTTAACTAGACAGAGGGACTACTTTCCTTTTAATTTACTCAGGCTGCAGTATGCAAGGCACACTGGATTTTAACAGCCTGCCATAACCTGCAGCGTGAGAGAAGTCTAGTTCTGGGGAAGCTACAGATTCACCAGAAATAAAGTAAGATAAGGCAAGAAAAGACAGTCCATTCCGAAACCTCAGCTGCCTTCACAGTTTCTGCTGAGATGCTTCCGTTAAAAAAAGCCTGCAAGTCTGATTTAAAGACAAGTCAACAGCTTTAAAACAGGAGGCACCCCAAGGGAAATACTGTCATTAAATGAAGTTATTTTTATTCCATGCAAACAGGACAAATCCTCTCTGTTTCTATAAAAAATATGAAGGTAGTACTAAGCCAGAGATTCAAGACAAAAAAAAAATGACAAGTTTCATTATTGTTTCCTCACTAACCTGTCCTGATAGGAGGAGGGGGTGGTACACACTTCACCCCCAGAGTAATCCAGTCCTTCCCATCACATCTCCTGTGACATCCTTTCAACCACTGCTCTACACTTTGCATACTCCATTGCTTGTATAACAAAATACCTCTATTTTGCCAATTCCTACTAGGAAAAAAAAAAAAGGATGTGCTACCTAAACACACAAGCACAGCTTATCAATCTTGAGCAACAGGCAAAACCCTTCTGACAGCGTAAAGGATTCATGCAGCCTGGATCACAACAAAATCAGCAGCAAGATCTCCTGTCGAGACCTGTCCATAGCTCAGCCTGAACCCTGCAAACCATTAGCAGGGCAGAGAAAATGGACAGAGTCAACCATTTCTCACAAGGTTGCTGTTACACACCGTGTTTTCCTGGCTAGCTCGGATAGACACTGTGCCTTAGAAACACGCTAATGTAGCAAAGCGTGACCAAACACACCACAAGCTCTCCAGGGACACTGACCTTGGGGCTTTCAGTACCAAGCATGCGAGCTTCAAACGGCTGAAGCAAAACAGCACGTTCATTAGCTCGAAGCAGAAGGTTGTCAGCGTCACCGAGGCCGGTCACTAGGCTGCACAATCATGTTTCTTGGCACAGGCAGCCTCTGTGGGGCACGCAGCAGACTGAGGAGGGGACAGGCAGCACATCATTAGGTAGGGCAGGAAAAGAGCAGCAGATTGGGTAAGGGAAGGGACTGAAGTGACATTTGGGAAGCATACGGGGCTAATTTGTGGCATATCAGCCGATACATTTGGACACCGCTGAGTTAGTCTATTATGTTCATCTGACAACAGCATTTAACCAGCTCCTTGGTTAAATATGGCTCACAAACATGGTTTGCAACTGTGCTAAGCCTGGACAAAAGCATTTTAGAGCTATGCCAGGCATTCAGAACACGTCAAATGTTGCTACAAAGCCGTTCACAAAGAGCACCTCACACAAACAGTACACTGGAACCAAGGGTGAGCAACTCCACACCGACTCGCTGGCAAGTGGGATAGAGTCGCAACATCATAGTTGTAATTCCCTTTTTATTAGGTCTTAAATCAGGAACAGAGAAGACCTCTCTATCCACTTCCACAACTTCTGGCATCTCGCCCCGTTAGAATTCACTATTTAATCCTACCCCAAGCTCCTGAGACTCTCTGGAAGTATTACAGCAGTGTCAGTCACCAGACCAGATGAAACTCTAGAGCTGCCGCCCTCCTGCAGAGGCAGATTTTACTGTGCTGAATGATCCTCACCCCCTGCTTCTGTTCGTGGTCACACGGGAAAATAGCCCAATGAATTAATGTTTTGCTAGCTTCTAAAATGGCTCAGCTGCTCTGGGATCTTCTTCTACATGTTTAGTCTTTGTTTATGGCAAACGCTCTGTTCCCACTGAAGTTTGCCCAGAGAATGCTCTGCTAATAAAAAACACATTTGAACATTTTATATTTATTCTGTTAATGGCAGGGATTGCACAATAACCTATTGATCTGGAGGCCTTAGAGACCCATAGCCCCGGGCCTGTTTCAGAGTTAAGCATCGTAAGTCAAACTAATTGACAGTGATTCTTACTTTACAAGAAACACCACAGGTATGATCCCAGCAGGAGTTACTTCCAACCTAAGTAAGACTTGGATGTCAGGATCAATTTAGTGAAGTGGTTCTCAGTCTTTTTAGGCTTGAGCCCCCCCCCCCACTCTGAAATGCCAGCTCTTAGTTTTCACTCTTTTTTTTTTTTTCTGACTACTGGGAAATACCAGAGCAACTCTTCTGTTGCAAAGGACTCAGAAACATCCTGCCTGGTGTGGTCTTCCTAGCACTATGGATTCCTATCTGAAATCTCTAGGCTTATCTTGTGACTCACATCTGCCCACTTGACAGTGCTAATGTTGTGTGACCCCCCACAATAGCACCCTTGAAAGGCTCTCCAGGGGCCCTGGCGAGGAATCACTCATTTGGTGGGTCTGATGGAGCAGGGAGATAGACAGCCAACGTAGAAACTCAGCTGTGCCCAAGAGGAGCATCCTCTAGGGCTCGGCTGCAAGCGGCCCCAGAACTGCACACAGGATCCCCTGGGACAAGAATATACCTTATGGATATGGCAATTTGCCCCGAGAAGGGCAGCGATAGCTCGCTATTCTCGATGGCTCCAGCATGTTCTAACGCGTGAGTGTCTCAGAAATCAAGCTACCACCTGCGCTACAGGTACAGACTGGAAGCAGCTGGTGACTGCTAATAGTCTTTCCCTCCCCTCAAAACCTTGCAGCAGAGCGCAACAATTCTGGGCAGGATTTGCAGGTGGCCAGCCAGCCCCAGAGATACTCGAGGGCAACGTGCCAGCTTCAGGCAGACTCGCTGCTCCACCAGCCAGGCAGGTCCCCCGGGGGTGTTCTGCAGAACCCTCTGTGCAGCAACCAAGTCTCTGATCCGCGCCACTCGGCTCCAGCCCGGATCACGGCTGTGTTTTGCTGCGGTTTGGTCTGTTTCATGGAAACCAGGCGCCAGGCACACGCCTGCTGCCTGGGACTTGTGCATGGATCTGGTGACGCAGCTGCAAGCTGGGGCCTGGGCTTCCCTGGCGCACAAGCCTCAGAGCTGGACTGAAGGCTGCCTACTGCTGCACAGAGACCGGGGGGGGCACGGGGAACGATGTCGACGACAGCACACCTGGCACGGGCCACGGGCAATGAACGGCAGAGGGTGAGCGCCTCCCTGGCCCTGTCCTGTCCTGTCCTACCCCACCCCTGGGGCCGTCCTACCCCACCTCAACAATCCTACCCCAAACCCCCACATCTTATCCTACCCCCCACCCTACTCCAGCCCCCCAGCACCATCCTAGCCCCCCAAG